TTCCAGGCCAGCTCTGAGGCTTTTTGAGGTCCCTGGCATGTGACACTTTGGGCCCCAGGACAGGTGAGGAGAAGGAAAAAATGATTAAGGTAAATGGTGTTCCCTGCGGTCAAATGTCTGGAGGCGGGACCTGTGTGCCCATGGCCTCTGCCCCGTGGAGACTTTGATGAGGAAATCAGATCAACAAACAGTCCCCAGAGACAGGGAGAGCTGGAGGGAATTACACATTAACCCTCCGCCCCTCAGGACGGTGACCCAGGCAGGCGTTGGGTGGGCAATAATCTGATGACGCGGGGAAACTGAGGTATGAAACGGTGCAAAGCCGTCAGGGATTTGAATAGCGCTACACGCAACCTACGACACGCTCACGTCCCAGGGAAGTAAGCTCAATGTAATGCGTCCTCAGGACCGCCGATCATGCATTCCCATAAGGAGTGGTGTATATGGGCAGGACGGAGGCCCAGAGCGCATCCCTTTGGCACCAGGAAAGGCTGAAGCGCCTGACCCGCCGGCGTGGACATTGCCCAGTCCACTCACCGTCCACCCGCAGCTCCACGCGCGCGCTGGGCGCTGAGCCCGCGAAAGGCGGCGCCGTGTTCGCGTAGACGCAGCTGTAGTTGGCCGAGTCCAACAGCGAGACGTCGCGCAGCTCGAAGAGGGCCTCGGCCCCCGCGGGGCTCTGGAGACCGTGCACCCGGCACCTCTCCGCTTCCTTGCGCACCAGGGCGAAGCGCAGGCCGGCCCGGGGCCCGCGGCACCGCAGCTGCACTAGTGCACCCGGAGCAGGGCGCAGGGTCACTGGCTCCGCTGAGAGCTCGGGCGCCGGCAGCGTCTCTGCGGAGAGACGCGGGTGACCCTGGTGCCAGGGGAGTTTTGGGCCGCACGCGCGATCTTGGCCGGGGCTTAGCCTTCTGCCCGAAATAGTCAGCCCGGTCCCCTCCGCCCCCTCCCGACACCCTCCCGGATCACCCAGCTAAAAGCTGGGTTTCGCTCCTGACCTCCCGTGCCCCTCCTCCTTGGATCCCCTACACTGTTCCTTATTAATTTGTTTGTTCATAAGAACAGACGGAAAGAGGGGGTCATGTTTTGTCATGGAGCCCGGGGCGGCCCCCGTGCCTGCCGGGGTCCTCTTCCGGGGTTGACGTGCCCTGTGTGGTTCCTGTGCGGGTCCTGCAGCCCAGTTCCGCAGTCCTCCACAGGCAGGCCTCTGCGCCCACCTGCTCCCAGGAACTGGGGGTGAGGGGGTTGGGGTCG